ATGGGCCCCAGACTTCGGAGTAGTCATTATATCCTCTGTGTCTCCCTGCTCAAGGAGACAGCACTTTCCTCTGTCCGTCCCCTCAGATTCAGGGCAGCGGCCCTTCATGTCCCACAGGGGCTCATCCTCAGCCCCATATGCTGAGGTCCTTGCGCTCTCAGGAGGTGATGCGCCTGGATAGGCACCCCATCTTGGGGCCCGGTGTGCAGAGAGGCCAAGGCCAATGACGTGACAAGTGGCCCTCGAAAAAACAGAACCATAGACTGTGTCTGGTGAAGAGCATGTTTGGTGGAGATGGTCACTTCCCCTCCCTTTGTGAAGGCACCAGGGTCCCTTTGGGGGCTCCTTGCTCCCACTGTGTGAAGCCTCAGTGGGAGGGTCTGTCCAGATGCTGGAGTGTACAGGTGTTTCCTTAGCATCCCAGTGTCACCAGGCACAGGCCTGTGGCCAAAACACAAACACCAAGACTCACGACTTGAGCAATCGATACCAGGACTGAGGAGTCCACTAGGATTCAACCTTTCCAGCTCACAGTACTGACCTGCGCTCCGTTCCTGTCTCCAGGACCACTGAGTGGCCCTGCTGCCTGCCCCTTCCACAGGTAGCTCCCCAGCTTCCCGGTGATTCTGTGTGGCCCCACAACCTCTGGCCCATTCTCCCTTTGCCTGAGTTAGCCTGAGCTGGCTTCACCTGCAATCAGGACTCTTGAAAGACATACCAGTGATGGAGGAGACATGGTAGTCATGAGTTTACTCACCAGAAAGACTTAGGGCTCCCATCTAAACCCCTGTAGGCAACTGACCTCCCTCCCCTTGGTAACACTGTGCTAATACCGGAAGAAGAATATTTGAGACAAGTTGCGCTTGCTTTATTGATTACCTAATTTGTTCCATCAGACACAAGCATCTTGTGGATTAAGCAACTCTTTCTGTCCACAGTACCAAAGCAGGCCTCTCCACTCCTCACTCAGTCCCTGTGTATATGGAGGGACTCCTAAACATGGCCCGGGGTGGATACCCACTTTGCCAGGACCGGGAGCCCAGCAGGATCAAGTCTGCAAGGGACAGAGCTTTCAAAGGGCCGGGAGGCAGTGGGGTTTGCCAGGTAAAATTATGGTCACTAATTATAGTGTGTGTGGGTTTTTCCCCATATCACCAAGCCATTCTCCAACACCAGCCGGGCATCCTACAACTTACTCTATTTTCACACTATCTACCTGGAGAAAATGTCAGATCCCACAGGTAAAGGGTTCAGTCCTACAAGACGGCCTCCCCCCACCTTGAGATGCCAATCGCCAAGGCCATGTTGTGCTTCTGACCATTGGGCCACAGATCTGAGATTCCAACAAGCCCCTCCTTGGGTTTGACTAATTTGCTAGAGTGGCTTACAGAACTCAAGGAAACATTTTCGTTTCTAGATCACTGGTTGATTATACAAAGATATAACTCAGGAACAACCAGATGGAAGAACTGCATAAGGCAAGGAATGTGGGAAGGCATGTGGGGCTTCCTTGCCCTCCATGTGTGCCCTCTCCTCCCCAGATCTCCACGTGTTCACCAGCCTGGAAGGTCTCCAAACCCTCTCCTTTTTGTTTGTTTGTTTTTTTTTATGGAGGCTTCATTACATAGGTATGACTGATTAAATCACTGGCCTTTGGTGACTGAACTCAATATTCAGCCCCTCTCCCTACCTGGAAGTTGACCTGAAAGCTCCAATCTTCTAAACACCTGGTTGGTTCCCCTGACAACCAGTATCCATCCTTAGATGACCTGGGGGCTCTCCAAAAGTCATCTCATTAACATAACAAAAGACACCTCACCACTCTCTTCACTTAGGAAATTCTGAGGGTTTTAGGAAGTATGTGCCTGGAACCAGGGTGAACATCAAATATCTATATTTATATCTATCTATATCTATCTTAATCCAAACCACAAGATCACACTAAGCAACTAACTGTATGGGCAGAAGAGGCCAGGTGGTTAGGAGACCCAGGGTCCTTGAGTCCTAGCCCCTTTCTGGGACCTGATTCCTTCCACCTGACCCAGGACTCTGGTTTAGACTCTGGTTTAGAGGTGGCTCAAGCTTCAGTCCCACCACTTAGTTTCTGTGGGAGCCCAGCCACAATCATGGTGTGGCCTGGTTGAAATAGTGGTGTGTGGGGTTGCGGGGTGCGGGTAGGAGGACCTGCAAGGCCTGTCATGTAATTGGCAGATCTTTCCACTAGAGGGCGCTCACAGTATAATTTTCCCCCCCTCTTCTATTGCCTCTTTTAATTCTATCTTGATGCAACTTGGGATTTTTTTATACTGTTGAAGAACAAAAATAGAACTATAACTAAAAATTCATGTAGTTGATCTTATGCATTACCCTACTTGGGTTCTGCCACATTTCTAAGAGTTGTTAAGTGTTCCCCTCTGGGGTATTGAGTGTGGTAATACACACTCCCCACCTGGCCTTTTGCAGCTCCAACGATGGGCCCAGAGAGACCATTGAGCCTTTCCTGCTCAGTACTCCACAAAGGCTGACTGGACGCCTCTCTGCCCACCACCGACCCACTTTCCCTGAGCCGCCTGACAGCTGCCTTCACTCCCACTCCCACCCCCACCTGGCCCCCAGGACTTCAGGAGGGCTGTGTGTGCAAAGGCAGGGGGGTAGCGCCGGATACCCGCCCTGACCTCTGCTACCATCTAGCTGCGCGTGCTTGGGCAAGCTGTTTATCCTTTCTAACGCCCAGGGTCTTTTTAAATAAAATAGTCATAAAAGGACTCCTCCCTTAGAGGGATGTTTTGAGCATGGGGTAGACAGAATAATGGTCCCACAGAGGTGTCCACATCTTAATCCCCAGGACCTATGAATGTTGCCTTACATGGCAAATGGGTCTTCTTCCCACCACAGGCAAAGAAATCCTTGTAAATAGCTCTGATCCAGACCAAGAGCATGCACACTGGTGATTTCTCCCATCTGGTCCTTGGGGCACACGCTCAGGGCCTTGCTGAGCTCATGGCAAGGGTGTGCTGACCTCTCCCTCTCAGTTCCAGCCTCACGGCCTTCCTCGTCCCCGATTGCCAAGCCCAGGGCCCCTGGCCCATCCTCCAGCCTCCCTTCCCGGGCCTGCTCCCCCTCCCGCAGATGGGCCGGGCCCTGTCCACCTCACAGCGTTCTCCATTTCTTCCTTATCTTCTCTGCAGAAGCCTTTACCCCCGTTCCATAGTCGACCAAGCTTCTCTTTTCTACTCCATACCCTAGGACCCCTCTGTTGCCCCTTTCCAATGTGCAGTTTTAGTACCAAGAGTTTTGCAGTAGATTAAATACCCATGTAGGAAAACCCAAATGAAACCATGGGTTCTTGCATTTTGCATCCAGGACATGAAATTGGGGAGGGGCTCCCTGCACGTCACCTTCTGCCTGCGTCTTCTGTAATTCCCAATGTGGACAGAGCAGAGGTGAACAGGGCCCTGCCCCAGGCTTGGCTGCACTCACTGCGGCTCCTCACGGGCTGCGGCTGGCTGGCCTGAGCCTGGCCTGATCCCTCCCTTGGTGCCCGACTGATAGTCGGCTCAACCCCTCAGACTGATTGGAGACTGTAAATCGCTCGGTTCACAGATCCCAGTGAGACCCTGGCACACTCAATTCACAGCCACTGCTTCCCAGAAGGAAGTCTAAATGTGGACGGCACGCTGGTGGCACCGGATGACTAGTTGTCCGTCACCCATGCCCTGTCCACAGCCCCAGCTGTCGCTGTTCCCAAGCACCAGGGCGATGCTCCCTCAAGGCTTCTGTGTCTGTAGGGAGCTTGGCCATGCCTCGGGCAGGCCAGAGATGCCGGACTTAGCTCCTGGGAGGCCGCTGGCAGAATTAATAGTGGGACAGTGGAAGGAGGTGGGTCACCCCCAGCCTCCTCACTCCAGGGGTGGGACACGTCTACACATGGCTCCCCACAGTCTCCACCGCCCCTGCTGGAATTGAACCTGGTTTCCCACAGCAGCAGTCAGCTCACTAGCACACCCTGCATGGCTTTCCTCCCTCCCCGCTCCCTTCCCCCTACTTTTTGGGAATCCCCTCTGAATAAACTGCTCAGAGCCTTGTCTCAGGCTCTGTGTCTGAGGGAAGCCGAGGTAGAAAAACAGCACCTGAGGAAGCAGCCCTTCTAGAAGCAGACTGGCTCATCTTCAAGACACATCTATTTCATTCTGCAATGATCACATTTTAAAACTGGGAATTTTAAAAGATGGTTTTGTAACTGCTAACACGACACGGCTCCTTGGGTTAAAATATTTCCCTTCCTCCCACCACGTTGCCATTCTCTGTTCTGAGATTCACCAAAGAGCTTACTTTAACACTCTGTACCTGTGCTGGTGGGTTTTCCCTGGACTTATCTGTATATGATCCAGATCCTGTGTTTGGACCTTTGCCTTAAGATGTCCCCATTGACTGGTTTCCCTTGTGTTTATTGTGAATTTAAAAAACCCATATTTTCCTCTTGCCCAAAAGCTAATTACTCAGTTGACTGGATTTTCTTTCTTTCTCTTTCTTTCTTTCTTTCTTTCTTTCTTTCTTTCTTTCTTTCTTTCTTTTCTTTCTTTCTTTCAAGATTTTATTTATTTATTTGATAGACAGAGACACAGCGAGAAAGGAAACACAAGCAGGGGGAGTGGGAGAGGGAGAAGCAGGCTTCCTGCAGAGCAGGGAGCCTGATGCGGGGCTCGATCCCAGGACCCTGCGATCATGACCTGAGCCGAAGGCAGATGCTGAACGACTGAACCACCCAGGTGCCCCGACTAGATTTTCTAATACTCGCCCAAATTTACAATATTCTTTAGATTTGGCCCAAATTTCTGAGTCGTCTTTGGAGACAGTGCTGATGTTCCTACAGGGAGGAGCATCCTGAAGGAGGTCGGCTTTATGGGCCAGAGGCTTGGTGATGCCCCCATTGGGGCCACCAGCACCAAGCCCCCCTCCCCCCCGCCCCCAGCACAGAGCCGAAAGATGCTCAGGCCTACCTGGACTGATCTCAAAGAGGTGCTTCCCTGCATCCTCAGGGCCAGGAATAAGTTCAGTCACCTGGGTCCCTTGTAGAGAAATAAATCCCTAAAACGAAGAGACAAGACACAAACACAGGAGGCATGAGATGGAGGGGAAAGGGCTCCTGGAGAGAGAGGGCGGGGCTGTGGGGTCAGACTGGGTAGCGCGAGGAGCCCACCTGAGGTCCCTGGTGGAGTGGGGTGGGCACTGTGGTTTACACACACCGTTGCAAGAGTCTGCCCACAGGCAGGGCCGGGACTGCCTGGAATTGTTACTCCTTGGTTAAGGCACGGAAACGTGAATCTGGAGCAGGGAGGAAGGCCCCCATCATCCACACCCCCTCATTGCCCGTTCCAATGCACTTATCTGCAGCCTTCCTGGGGCCTGAGTTTAAGGCTGTAGAGGGTCAGGGACAGGAATGCTGGCACACCGGGGCTGGCTTCTTGTATGGAACTGGCCCCGAGCTGACGGCCATGGGAGGAAGGATCAACAGATCGGTGAGTCCAGCCCTGCCCCCTCCCGGTGGGTGGGATTTCATTTCTTGTTCAGTGGGAGTCAGCTACCACACAGGAGGTACCCCCCACAGATCATGCCACCGTGTGCCTAGGGTACCTGTGTGTGTACATGACAGGGGATGAGCCCACCCTACTCTCCGATGCTGGAATCCAGTAGTCAGACTATAAAAGATGCAGAGAAAGAGAATGGGGTGTAGGGACAAGTACGCTGGGTTTGAGTCTTAGCCCTACACTTCTGGGCTGTGTGACCTCAGGCAGACCACTTAACTTCTCTGAACCTCAGCTTCCACATTGGGACAATGGCACAGTAACTCCCACTTCTCAGGGGCATTGAGATACTAGATGTTCAGGGGGTCCTGCTCTAGATGGGGTGATGTCACAACCACCTTTACACCAGCCCTTTGCCCACCCACAGGGCTAGGCAGAGCCTCCCTTTCTCTGTTAGTGATTGATCTCTGCTGTGGCTTTTCTTCATTTTGCTCATGTTCAGGTTTGCTCATTTAAGACAGCAGGTGACCCTGACTATACATTTTTGGCTCTTTCCATGAGAAACCTATTTTAAACTCCATTCCTATAGCCTAACTGTCTGGGTTCAAATCCTGGCTCAGTTATTTACTGGCTGTGTGACCTCAGACAAATTGCTTAACCCCTCTGTGCAACCTCACAGTTCTGTTATTCATGAAGTAGGGATAATAATAGTACTTTGTGGGGCTGTTGTGAGCATTGAATGAATGAGTATTTGGGAAGTCCTTACAGCAGTGCCTGGCACATAGCAAAAGCATCCTTGCATCTGCATTTGCCCAGGTGAGGGGCACGATCATGTCACCTCCCACTCCCAACTCCTTCGTGTGCTCACAGAGCGCTCATCTCCGCACACCACCATTTCCCAGCATTTCCTGGGAGCCTTTCCATGGCTGCTGGGGTCTTGTGCTGCAGGGACCCTTGGACAGACCTTTTCTTGCAGAAGCAATGTAAAGGCAGGACCACGTCTTTGCCCACACAGACTTGCTTTAGAGAAATTATAGCAATAAGCCAGAGAACCAGCTAGTAATTGTTGTAACTGAATTATCAGTTACTTTCTTGCTAGGGAATCTGGAGCTACTGGAAATAAATTAGGAGTGCAGCCCCAGGATGGTGAAACGTGCTCATTTGACGGTGTGGACAAGATCCATCGCTGGCTAATGGGATGGCCTCTGGTATTTGCTGTTTCAGTAACTGTGTGATTCAGGGCACTGTGCTTTATTCCTCTGTGCCTTGAAATCTGTCATCCATAAAATGGGAATAACATTGTTGACATGGACGTTACTTTCTGCTCCAGCTACACAGAAAAACAGTAATAGCTACTGTTTATGGAGCTTGTTCTATATTCCCTGCTCTTTGTTGAAATGATTGGATTTAATCTTTCTGGAGGCCGCATGGGGCAGGTAGTACTATCCTCATCTTCCTGGACGAGCAGGGGGAGGTTGGAGAGGTAAGGTGAGCAGCTCCTCGTCCCACTGCTGGCAAGGGCAAGCCGGGGTGCACCCAGCCATGTCTGACGCGGGAGTGCTTTGCCTCTCGTTTATGGTAGCAGCTGCGGGCTGACTCTGTGCAAGAAGCTGTGGTGGGGAGCCAGCCTGGACTTTGGGACCCACTGTTCTCTTCTCACTGGGTGAATCCCAGTGGACTCCTACCACAGCAAGATGACTTCAGAACTGGCTTTGGGCCGCCCAGATCCCTCCTGCCTGCACACATCAAGAGCATAGCTTTGATCCTAGTGCCGTGCTCAGGCACTGGATGGGAGTGGGGGTGGGGAGAGAGGCAGGGGAGCTGAGGCAGTGTGCTTTCCCAGGCCTCTTGCGACAGTTAAGTAGTAAGACACGGAAGGGGTCCATAGGAAGCACCCAGTGGAGATGTTCGGGGCAGGTCTCAACTTTGAGCAGGGCACCAGAATCACCTTAGAGCTTGTCAAAACACAGAGCACCGGGTCTGGGGGGTGGGGGTGGGGTTGCTGGCAAATGTTTAGCCATAGGCTCTCTGAGGAAAATAAGGCCACCAAATAAATGTGTAGTGTTTGCCAACTTCTGTGATAGAAATCCTTGCCCCCCCCCAACATGGCTGATTTTATACATTGATAGAGAACACAGAGACAAGAAATCAGTAAGGATATAGATGGCCTGAAAGAATACCATCAACTTACTTGACCTAACTGCTATCACCCTCCAAAGCAGAACATACATTCTTTCCAAAGGCACAGGAAACTTTTATTATGATGGCCATAAACAGGTCTCCATAAAGGGAAAATAATTTAAAGACAACACATGTTCTCTGATCACAGTGGAATGAAGTTAGAAATCAATAACAGAAAGATTTCTGGAAAATCCCCAAATATTTGGAAATCCCATTAACATACTTGTAAAAAATCCATAGGTCAAAAAAGAAATAAAAGAAGTAAACAGTACTTTGTACTGGATAAAAAGGGAAACATGACACAAAAATTTGTAAAATGCCTTTAAAGAAGGACTTAAAGGGGGGCGCCTGTGTGGCTTATTTGGTTAAGCATCTGACCCTTCATCTCAGGGTCTTGATCTCAGGGTCGTGAGTTCAAGCCCCAGGTTGGGCTCCACACTGGGCGTGGAGCAAAAGAAGTACTTAAGGGATAAGTTACAGCACTTAATACTGATATTTGAAAGGAAGAAAGGCCTCTTAGGCCTTCACCTTAAGAAAGTACATAAAGAAAAGCAAGTTAAACCCAAAGTAAAAGAAAGAAAAAACAAAGATCAGAGTGGCGACAGATAAAATGAAAACTAGAAAAATAATAGAGAAAATCAATGAAACCAAAAGCTGGTTTTTTGAAGAGATCAATACAATTGATAAGCCTTTAGTCAGACTAATCAGGGAACAAAAAGAGATTACCAATATCAGGAATGAGAGAAGTGACCTCACCATAGAGTCTTCAGGTATTAAAAGGATAAAGTAATGTTAAGAACAACATTATGCTAGTGGTTTGACAGCTTAGGTAGAATGGACCAAAAAGACAGAAACTACTGAAGTTCACTCAGGAAGAAATAGCTAAATAGTCCCTATCTTATGCAGAAATGGAATTGGTAGTTAAAAATCTTCCCACAGAGAAAACTCCAGGCTCAGACAGCTTCATTAGTGAATTCTATCAAATATTTAAAGAAGAAGTAATACCAATACTACCCAAACTTTTCTTGAAAATTGAAAAAGAGGACCTACTTTCCAATGCATTTTATGAGGCCAGCTTTATCTTTATATATAACCAGCTGAAGGCATTACAGGAAAAGGAGACTTCAGATTAATATCCCTCGGGAACATAGATGCAAAAATTCTCAGCAAGATTTTAGCAAATCAAATTTAACAATATATAAAAAGGAAAACACATAATGGGCAACTGGGGTTTGTCCCAAGTATGCAAAGTTGGTTTAACATTCCCAAACCCATCAATGTAATTCACCGTATTAATAAAGTAAAGAAGAGAAAAGATATGATCATCTCAATAGATGTAGAAAAAGCATTTGAAAAAATTCAACATCCATTCCTGATTCAAAATCTCAACAAGTTAGGGATAAAAACCAATTTCCTCAACCTGATAAAGGGTATCTTTGAAAAACTAAAAGCTAATACCCTACTAAAAGTTCTTCCCCTAAGACCAGGATTGAGACAATGATGGTTAAATTCTTACCACTCCTATGAAATATTGTCCTGGAGTCCCAGCTGCTATAATAATGCAAGAAAAAGAGAAGTTGTCCAGATTGGAAAGGAAGAAGTAAAAGTGCTTTCACAGACAACATAATTGTCTATGTAGAAAATCTGGTGAAAACCTACAGAAAAAGCTACTAGAACTGATAAATGAGTTTGGCAAGATTGCAGGGTACAAGAGAAATGCACAAAACTGAATCATATCTCTAGATACCAGCAATGAACAATTGGAAATTGAAACTCAAACCCATTTTTTTAATAATTTTTTATTGTTATGTTAATCACCATACATCATTAGTTTTTGATGTAGTGTTCCATGATTCAGTGTTTGTGCATAACACAAGGTGCTCCACGCAGAATGTGCCCTCTTTAATACCCATCACCAGGCTAACCCATCCCCCCACCCCCCTCCCCTCTAGAACCCTCAGCTTGTTTTTCAGAGTCCTCCTTAGGGATAGATATGGCAAAAGCTGTTCAAGATCGGTGCACTGAAATCTGTAAATCATTGCTAGGAGAAATGAAAGAGGGTATCAATAAATGGAGAGATACACTGTGTTCATGGGTCATCTTTCAGATGCAGTTCTCCCCAGACTGACCTCTAGATGTAATGCAATCCCCGTCAGAATCCCAGTGGGTGTTTTGTAGAAATTGACCAGCTGATTCTAAAATTCATATGGAAACACAAAGGACCTACAAAAGCCAGACCATTTTGAAACAATTGTTGGAGGTCTAATACTGCCAGATTTCAAGACTTATTATAAAGTTACAGTAATCAAAACATTGTGATATTGGTGTCAAGACAGACAAGTAGATTAATGAAACAATAAGAAGTTTATATATATATAAATA